ATCTGTTTTTGTAAAAGAAACTGAAAAACAACCATAACATTTAGAAATCGCAACGAAACTATTTTTCTGACAATTAATTCAGACTATTCTCGTCATTCACCAAACGGAAAGAAGGATTCATAAAAAGAGAAGCGCTACGCTTTCTATAAATGAGAGGCGTATACTACGTGACCAATTTATTACGTGTGAAGCTAAAATGGTCAGTCGAAGCACGGCCAACGAAAATGTGCATACGAGTCAGAATATTCGTGTCACTCACGGGTCTGAGTGTTCGTGTCACTCACCAGGCGGAAAGAGGGATTCGGAAAAGGAGAAGCGCTACGCTTTCTATAAAAAAAGGGAGGGGTAGATCACGTGATCAGTCTATGACGTGTGACATTCTAGTCTTCTCGAATGAGGACGCAAAAACCCTAGGTCCCGTCTCCTGCATCTATTAATTAATTAATTTTGTTAGCAGGGGACGTTAAAGAACCCACTCACGAGATTACTGTGATATGGTCTGGCCTGTTTATTGGGAGTTTGAGGGGGAGGGGGGGGAAGGGTTACTTCTTGACGCGAGATCCACTGTAACTGGCTAAGGCTGTAGTGGTCTCCTTGCCTAAGATAATTAGGCGAAGCTAAATAAATACAAATTAGAAAAGTCTATCGAAACACGACCAATGGAAATGTGCATACGAGTCAGAAAAGGACGTATTCGTGAAAGTAACGCAACACCATAAACGGAGTACAACTTCGTATAAGCGTATATGTAAAATGCGAGATAAATAAAGCAGTTATTTGCGAGGACGGCATGTTTAGTGATGATACAGGCCATAAAAGAAATATCCGTACGTGGGTTCGTTACTAGAACGCGACAACTATCTGCGAACAGGAGCCTTGTTCAACCTTTCTGGACTCTGCCAAAAGAGGAAAACATTCGCAAGGCGATGCGACACATGTAGCCTTTTGCAAAGTGAAGAGAAACAGCGATATACAATAGCAGAATTCCGTTCGAAAATAAAAACCCGTTTCCATATCGCGCGTACGAAGTCGCATACATAATTATGCAACAGAGTATAGGGAAGGTCAGCTCGAGCGGTGATTGAAATGTAGTCTGTTGTCGTATGGTATTTTAGTACTGCCAGCTGAATAGTCTATGCTTTAAAGCAATTACTCGTCAACAACAGAAGAACAATAAGCTCGTTAATATATGCTTCTGAGACAGACGCGTACATGCTTATGTAGGATTTATATGCGCATCCATTTTTTTTTTCTAACGTGTATGTGACTGGAATTCTATTTTGGTTTGACATTAGCCAGTTAGCGGAAATCCTTTTCTGCGTTTCTTCTGGAGTTAAAAACGTACCAGTCTATAAATCTGTAGTGTGTATCCAGACATATAATTCACAAGAAGTTTAGAAAATTAATGCTGGCTTAAGAATAGATCGTTCAATAGATCTTTCGATATTCTTAAGCTCAAAATTTCACGATTTTCAATTTTCCACCGGGGAACCTTCAATCCCGTAGGAATATTTGTGATCTACTCCGAGCAGTTCTCGGAAGACTATTTCGAGAGATCTGTGTACTCCAAAGGATCTAGGCGAATGATTCTCCCGGGTTCAATGCCTACCGTTCACAAAATGGGGACAAGAAAAACCGTCCTCGGTGCGATCTCGACGACGGGGAAGTCTACGGACCTCTAAGGGTTTTGTCACCCTTACATATGAGCTGATCGATATATACTTTTAAAAATTATCTGGCCGAATACCTTACACAAAGGAAAGTACCAGGCGAGTATTGCAAAAAATAAATGATATAAAGGAAGAGTGCCAGGGTTTTTGGTATAAACGCGTGCTCTTGCAATTTTGGCCCAGAACTTGTGGGTCTTCCGGTCACGCGATCCTTCTTGGACACTTCGAGACAGCGGAGGGCAGTTCACGGCAGCCAATACGCAATCAATATTTGGTGCTGATGCATGGTATGTACAAATTTATTAACAATTCTCAAATCAAAGTGTAAATATGGCAAACAGATCATTTTTACGGTTTGTGTTAGCCTGCAGTGCCGGCGTATTTTGGGCGCACCAGTGCACATTTTCGTAATAGGCCACCATCTTAGATTTAGTAACTGTGGAGGATTGGGGCGAGGAAATATTTGTCGAGGGAGTAGATGTTAAGTGGAAAAATGGCCAACGGGGGAGAGGGAGGGGATGGAAAAAATACGCCTGCCCGCAAAGCCTGTGATTTCGCAAAACGCCCCTTAATTAGCAGCGCTTGACTGCCTTTCCGGAAATGTGCAAGCAGCCAATGAACATCGACTTTTGCTTTTACCGGATGGAAGCCAAACATTTACTTCC